CCTGCGCTTTCAAAATGTTACATGTCCTTGTTCACCTCAACTATTAATGATGCACACAGCTGATATCATGGTAGACCTGCACTCTCCTTCATCATAGTACATATCGTATAAATTGCTAAACCCATATCTCAACGTCTATTATACACAGAATTCAATGCGCGCAGTAGTTGAACAGTATAGCGACAGTGACCAGATCCCGCCAATCCGTATTGTGCTTGTGCGTGGCGACGAGGATCTCACCATCAAGGTATGGTGGTACATAAGGGGTACTAGAGAGGAATGATTTTTCAATGGTGTGTGTCTGTATGTCTGCGTACTTGCTGCTGCGTCTGGCTGATTAGTCGAAGGCGTACATACAGGTGAAACTCTTGTCTGGAGCATATTCATGGACCGTGTATGTTTTCGCAAGGGCTTGTTCCGATATGGGGCTCGGCATGATTGGCGTGTAGGGGTAGTGATGATGCGTGCGAACAATTAAATGGTTGATTCACTCTTCGAATAGCTTGACGGGGATATGCTGATGTCGTATGTGAACAAGAAGCATATCACCACAGTACATTTGTAACCACTTCTAAGATAAACCCTAAAACCCTAAAACCCTAAAACCCTGTCGTATGTGAACAAGAAACATATCACCGCAGTACAATTGCAGCCACTTCTGAGAATGAGTTGCATACTATGTTTTTACTACAGATCGCTGATGAGGGCGGAGGTATCCCACGGAGCGACATGCCCCACGTGTTCACTTACTTGTATACGACAGCGAAGCTACCGGATGTAAGTGTGCGTGTGTGTATACTGCGGTGTATATATAATTACGGATGAATGGATAGGTTTTTTGACCGGATTCACTGAATCGAAATGTGGGCTGAAACCAGTCTGAATCAAAAACAGCTGGACGGGTTGACTGCATATTAGAGAACATTGACCTGAACACGTTGCTAAGTTACTAAACGTTGGGTTGTGACGCATATCGCAGTTCCCTCTGCACCTGCTACTTGACAAAGGGCCTGCGTATCTTGCAAACACACAGTCACACCCCCTGTCTCATTGTGTGCTTTGCAGTCGCTCAGTGAGGACGCGTACAACACCGATATCAATCACGCTCCGCTGGCAGGGTTTGGATATGGTCTGCCCCTAAGTCGACTGGTAGGTTCATTGTCTATGGCTTGTAGCTGTATCATGAGTGAGCATTCTGCAAACATATCTTAGATTATATCGGCTGTGTGATTCGTGGAGTGTCCTTGAGAAGGAAACTAATGAATGAAATCTTAGCGACAAGTTCTGAAGTGTGTTTTAGCTA